AATGTTCTTTACTGGAATGGGAAAATCAGGAGACCACAGAAGGCATAGTCTGCCATTGTTAATAGTTTTTAAATTAAACTCGTTTTAAGTTTATGATATAAAAACAGTGTATTTACTGCTAATTTTTTTGATACACAAAAAGTATAAATAGCAAAAACACCTTTTAAAAATTCAGTTTCCTGCATCAAAGTAGATTTCTCTATTCAAACCCATATCGCAAATTTCTTGATTATGTTGCTTTCAGTATTTGAAACAAAATGTGTTTTAGCTTCTCTCTAATTCCTCTATCAGAAATGAATATTTCAGAAATCAGAAAAGGTAATATTCAAATACATTATTTACTACTGCATAAATGGATTTTTATAATTTCCTAAAACATATGTACCAATGTTTGATTTTATATCCCACAGAGGTAGTATTTTCCTCCAAAATAAATATTTCATTATTTAACGTTTGATACATTATTCTTGTTTTTTTGTTTTGTTTTGTTTTTGCTTTTCCCTTGAATGTGGAATTTGAGAAATGCTGATGAGCTTACTGCAGAATTCCTTGTTTGCTGTTGATGTTAATTTGAACATTTTAGAGGGATGAAGTAGAGGAAGGTAGACATTTGTTAAATTGTATTATATCACAGCATATTTTAATGTAGATTATTAAAGTAACATAACTATTTGTGTAGCTTAGATTTTTTCCTAAAAGAAATTTATAAAATTATTTCAAGGCATTAAAAAAGCAACGCTCCCTTAGATGTTATACAAAATGATACTTGCACAATGGTTTTCATGCACATGAGAATTAATACGTTGATTCCAAAGCATTAGTTTTGGTTATGGTATCTTATTAAGTGCTTTATAAGTGAAAACAAACAAATAAACAAATATAATCCTTATCTCATAAGTTAATATCCAGCAAAGCACAGCTATTCCTGAAATATTAAGATGGCTATCGCTTAGGTAAAAAACGAAGTAAATCTTTCACCACAGGATATTATATTTTGTCTGTAAATTAGCCCAATGCCTTTATTTTAATGACGTCGAGTCATTTCCTCAAACTTATACAACTAGTTTGTGGCAGAGTCAGAATAAGACCCCTACATTTAATTCACTTTTGCTTTTTACCATTTCATTCTTGAACTATTTAATACAGAACTATTTTAAAAAATTAACTTCCAATTGCCTATTGGAAAGAGAACTTGATATTAGATATTAACCTACAATGAAGGAAGTGATTACAATGCTATACACTAATATTTATCTAAGATAGCAAAGCAACGGCATTTACCTTAAATTTACGTCTCTGCTCTGCACAGCTGTTGAGGAACCACAAGTCTGTCTCATGGCTGCAAATGTAACAAGAACAATAATGCGACCAATTTCATACCTAAACTAAATTACGTAGATTTGTCATAGGATAGAAAGTTGATAATGTATTTTACAATATATATTTTTTTAATTACAGATTGTGGAAGTGTGCATGTGTGCATATGCAAATGTGTGTGTGTGTGTGTGTGTAGGTACACATGTTTGTGGATTTACTCTTTTTAAGCTGGAAATTAGTTTCATGAAATTGAAAGCATTACATATTCTCTTGGCTAACTTTCTTCATGAACCAACGTGGGAATGTCAAGTCTAGGAAGTGCTAGGGGTAGACATAGATAAATAAAACAGGTTAGGATGAGAGGCCCTCCTCAGCTGTTATTTTTAGGCTATGCTTTTCTGGGATACATAGTAAGAATGTAAAAATGAAACATCTGGTAATGTTTAGTTTAATATCAGCTCCTATTTGTATCATAATCTTTACGTATTATTCATCAATATGCCATTATTCAATGTACCTATTGATTGGCTTATTTTAATTGGCATTTCATGTAATGAATATGTAATGAATAGAATACATAAACAAGTTTCAAATACATATATTTAGATATCTATACATGAAAGTGAAATCACTACTACAATCGGTATTCAAGCTTGTCAGATGTGATTTTTTTCTTTCCATTTTGCATTAGATATGCTAATATCTATGACATCTATAGCGCAAAATTCTGAAAAAATGTAAATGAAAAGGTAATAGTAGATAAACACTAGTCTGCTGGAAACAGACTCTCTACCATGTCACACTTCAAATCTCGCCAACACTTTTCAACATTTAAAAGAAATTCAGTTGAGTATAACAAGCAACCAAATATTGTTCTTGTGACTTGAGCCATCAAAACATTTTTCTAAAATCTGTCTTTGCTTTCAAACTTTATAAAATAGTTGTCCTTCAAAACTGTATTTTAAAGTGAAACCACATAATATCTCTTTTGGTCCTCTAGCAGTATGTTTGTGCCGATAAAGTACAAACCACCATGACCTATTGTTAACACCAAATATCTTTCTTGCAAGTGCAGATTTTGAAATGTTTTCAATTATCTTTTTTAATTCTAAAAGATAATCTACAACAACTCTATTATGAAAGGCTGGTTAAACTCTTATTTAAGTAGAAAGAAAACTAGACTGTGAGAGAATCATAAAAGTTTTAAAGCATTAATTTCTTATTAAATAATTAAACTTTTTAACAAAATGTTCTACTCTTTTATTTAATATAAGTGGCAAATAGTGCAACACATGTGCAATTGTATTTACAGATGCAAAGAATAAGCATTACCTACCATCCCCCTTTGACAACATGTGTAAGCGAGTATAAAATGCTATTAGGCTTTTATTAGATTTTAAATACAATCCCAGCATGTTTCCAGTTGCCAAGCTTATCAAGTAGTACGAAATACTAAAAACGTAGAATCACATTGTATTAACTGCAGTGTATATTTTGGTGAACAAACAAGTCTTCGTTCATTATTTCTAAATTCTCATTCATAAAAACCAACTTTTCATTCCTATGACATTTTAGCATGAGATCCCACTAAAATTACAAAATAATAATAAAATGCTACAGTTTTATGTGTACAACACAGATATATTCATGTTAATATGAATCACAAAACACTAAATTTTAGTGACATGATGAAACTCTTTGTAGTAATGCTTAGCACTTGAAATTGTTAAAAGGTACTTATAAATTTTTAAACAGCCTTTAGTGATAAAATAACAAAATTGAGGACTTAAGCTCAAATTTTATTTATGCAACATTTGGTACGTGAGCAACAATTTCTTAGTTTAGAGTCATTACTATTCCCATGGTGTGTGTGTGTGTGTGTGTGTGTGTGTGTGTGTGTGTGTATGTTTACCAAGAAAAGTTATGTATATTTTGCTTAAACAAAATATCAAATTTTGCCTTCCAACACAACAAAAAGAAAGTGGAAAAACTAAAAGCCCAGCCATTCTTTCTAGAGATACCCTGGTAAACATCAATAAAGAAACTTCTACTAGACTCAGCTTTGGAGGGGAAGGAACAACTACTCAGTGCATCTTGTCAAGAGACATAATAAATAGAATTAGGAATATATATGTATAGTGTTTTTCAGATACTCAAACCAATCGACTCTCTCCTACCTTCGGCTTATGCTGCCAGCATCTAAACCTCCTTTGCTCTACCAACAAGAAGGTAAAATTCCCAGTTTGAAGCCATAGTGAGGATACACATTTTATTTGCTGTCTTCTGTGACTTCTGTGTAAATTTTTCTGTTGTGTAAATGTATAGAGAGGCTCTCGTGGAATCAGATAACTCGATGAAAATATTCCAATTAGTGGTATTACTTGGGGAAGGATATCATGGTGAGGAAAAGGTCTCACTACAGAATTACTATTAGTTAAAACAAAAGAATGTGAAATTTATTTTAAAAGAGAAACAATTAAAATTAATCTTAAACTCAACTCAGGCTGGTTCAATATGACTCACTTGCAAATATGGCAGACATTTGTACCTGACTCTGTTGAAATACATCCTTTATCCCCAAGTCCCACTTTTTCCCACGCACTCCCCCAAAATGGTTTTTTTTTTCCTAAGAAAATATATTCTCATCTCAAATCTGTCTAGGGATCATAAATTTAATCCAGTTTTTTGGTAATACGTAGTTTCTGGATTGTGTAGATCAGTAGCCTATAATTCTCTGTCATACAAACTAAGTTTCAGCAGGCCATTTCATAAAACTAACTTACTAACATCTGGGAGTACACCTGGAAATGAAAACAGAAATCTAGGCCATAAAAAAATTTCAAGATAGTTTTGTTAAAATAAAGCAACCAGAAAGATGTTTACTATTTTTAAAACTAAGCTTGCCTTATTAGACATGTATATAACACATGATTTTAAAAATAGCATTGCTTATCTTTCAACAGAGCTGATAAACATTTTGAAAGATGTTTTATGCAACTCCACATACCTTCCAAATATTTTCAAAATACACCCTAAAATGTTTCTTCCCTGGAGACAATGTGTTATACATTTCTGTTAAGACTATATAAAACAATAGTTATATTACGTAACAAAAAGTTACTTTAAAAGACATACATACTATCAGTTTCACAGGACAAACAGTGAGTAAGGACAACAAACTTGAGAATGTGTTTCTATAACTGTAACAACAGCAATAACTCCTTGGCAAACTCAAACAGTTTTTCTGGCAACCTTAGAGGTTCTCTGCATTTGTCACTTGGATACAACTGCAGAAGGGCTGTCTAAGAATGCTTTGTTTCCTTCCATACCATTTTACTTTTAGTTTGCTTTTAAGGAAGAAAGTTCACAATTTAACCTGTTTGTGAAAAAAATTATACTAAAATCCCAGAACAGGGTTTTATACAAAACTTTTTATGCCTATGTATACCAAATGTGGTTCCTACATAATTTTTGTAATAAATGACCTTGTAAACTTTTGAAATCTATGCTAATAGAAAACTTTTTTCCCCTTTTTTGAGAAGATAAAGTGAATTCTCTTTCTGAATTAAAATCACATATGCAAATATAATAATTGTCTGTATGTATACAACTGAGTCTGCATTGCTGTTATCATTTTGAACATCTTTTAAAATAAGGCCCCAGGGCAGGGGTACTTCACTAACCTGAAGTGGTCTCTGTTTGTCACTGCTCTTAGGAGACTTCAGTCCACTTGTTTGCTGCTGTAAGAGAAGTTGTCTTGCTGCTTGGAGAGCCTGGACAGAAAAAGGGAGCAACATCTAAATATTTTGTGGAAAGGTAAATTAATTATCAGTTATTCCTTGGTTAATAATAATAGCTTTCAATGTATAACAACCCCACCTCCACCCTCCTTTCTAGAGAGAATCATTAAATATTCTTTTTCTTCTAATGTGAAAAAAAAATTACACAACATACATATACAACTTTACTTAAAATCATGGAGATGGATGTAATCCTGCAGGAAATAAAGTTAATTTGTTTAAAGTGCTTAAAGAGGAAAAAATCATAAACTGCATCAATAACCTCATTTCCACAAGGAACTTGTCTTTGTGAATGTTCAACTAAAATGCCCACTCCCCTTTAAATTATCATTCAATTTGCATTTTCATATTACAATTTTGAAGCAAAAGCAGTAGACTTCAAGTGTTACCGGAAGCTGTAATTAAATTTGACAAATCAACATCAGATTATCTTGAAAGTGAATTAATAAGGATTTTCACTAAAGGTTTAAAACACTTTTTTTGTACTTACAATTCAAGGGGAAACCTCTCCTTTGACAAAATAAAGTGCAGTTTTAATGCCAAATAAAATTGAGTGGTTTTCATTTGCATTCTTAGCAAAATCAGAGAACAAAGAAATTACCACTCAACCAATCAGGTTTGTTTCTATGTGTGACAGAATACCAATCAAAATAGAAGATGTTTTCATTTATTTTTATGTTTTCTTTCCCACCCAGGAAAATAAAACTTCACATAAGAAATTAATGTAAGCATTTCATTTGCTGGAAGAGGGGTAGTTTGACAATTGTACTATATACTTACATAAAAACTAGTGCCACAATAAAACAACAACAACAACAACACATAGTGACATGTTTTAAAGGTAGCAGTATAAACAAATTAAAAAACAACTTTTTAAGAGCTTCTACAAACTTATTTTTTCTCTCAACAATGGAGTTCAATGAACACTAATGATGAAATTTTTCAACAGATAAAACTAAAATAAATCATTGCCTTACTTTGTTATTCACTGTTTTAGAATGCATAGTAAATTTTTCATTATGGGAAAACTATCTTAGATCAATATTCTTCTATAATAATTAAGATTCTTAGCTGCAAAAAAGTACAATTTTGATTGGAATCAATGATATGGTTTTTAAGAGAGTTTCTAGTATCCATGACAACAGTTGCTTTGACAAGACGTGCATATGGCATTACACTGCCAGCTGGTGTGAACAATGTTTGAACTACTGCATTGAGATGCTGAGCAAACAGAAAAAGTTGCCACGTCTTAACCCTCAGGGAAGGCAGTCATCCCCGGATCAATTATGAAAAGACAGAGCGAGGGCTGCTACAGTCTGGCTCCAAGCGAGTTTCCTGAGAAGGCAGGCAGACACAGAAACCAAAGTAAACAAACGGAGCGCACCAGCACCATCTCAACAACACTGATTTGTCTCCCATCGCAGGATCTGGCACAGTCTGTAAAGCACACTTTTTACATTTGGAAATATACTCACTCACAACAATCTTCCTTCTGTTTTTTAAATTTTTCAAGTAATTACAAGGCAAACTAAATGTTTCTAAGAATGGCACATTCCAATGAACTCAGTTTAAATAAAAGACCAAATAAAAATGAATTCCATAAATTATTTTTATCATTGCAAAGCTCAGTCTGAAAATTGCACATGATAGTCTAAATAATGCAGCTTTCTTGTTTTAATCACAACTTATAAAATGACTACAAATGATATTTTTTAAATGGAAATTATTATAGCATGGCTTAAGCTAGGTCTATGTGAAACTCTCAAAAACAAAACAAAATCAGTGAGCTATTTTTCCCTTTGGTGCCAAAATCCACACAAAGTTTGCCTAATATTTTTCATATAATTGTTTTTCCCCTTTGAGTTCATGAGTTTATTCTGTACATACACAGCTTTATTTAGCTTACATTTAACTCTGTAGTAATTTACTATTCTTAAAGGATTCTAATGAATATAGTTTAGAATCTCAAAGTCATGAAATCATCCAATCAGGGCCCCTCATTTTGGCAAATGAGGAAAGTGAGGGCTGGCGTAGCCCAGTGCTTGTTTCCAGTCTCCTGCCTCCTTGGCCAGAGGGCATTCTTGGTGCCACAGCATCTCTGTCCCATCAAATGAGCTGTTAGGTGGCTGGGAGTAAACTCGAGTCAATGAGAACATATGGCGCCAGAAGTGATTGTTTGTTACCTGCAAAGGGGACATACCCATTTATCATAACTTCAGAAATGAAACTACATTATAGTCTGTTATGTTTTAAATGTGTAAATGTTTGAATAGAACAACTATTACAGAATATGTACCATTTTTATGGCTAAGTGTTCCCACCATCCTTGACTTGGATTTCATCACAGAGTCTACCAGTGCTTGATGGAGCTCTAAGCTCTTTGTAACACTCTGATTCTTTGACCAGTTATTACTAATGAACTGAAGAATTCCAAAGCTGGAAAACAGCCTTAGGAATTGTTTGGCCTAGCTTTCACATCTTGTAGATAAGTAATTGAAGAACCAATACTACAATAACTTGATTAAAGTCAGAAAGCAGCAGCAGAGTCTGGGCAAAGGTCAGCCTGCTGTCTCCTGAGCCTGGGATCCTATCCATTTCACTGCCTGCACTATATCCAGTCAACTCAACCCAAGTAAGGAAGCCAAAGGAATATGGAACACCCAGTGGCTATAGAAAGACTCCAGAAAATTAGATATTTCAGAATGCTGCTCACGAAAATATCGCTGGACTAAAGCATGCATGTGCACAGTTTTTAAAGAAGTAATAATAATAACAATAATAATAATAATAATAATGGGATACCACAAGATGTAGGCTAAAACACGCTTTCACTTTTAAAGTACTGTGGTTTTCATATGCATTGACAGTTAGCGTTCAAATAGCCAAGGATCATGTTTAAGTATAAACGCTTATGCAAAAGAACTCCTTGCCTATTTCAGCATTCTTTTCGTAGCAGTACAGATTGCTATAGTAAACATGAGAGGTGGGAGAACAAAAACAATTCCAAGAGATCAGGAATGATGAAAAACTCCTAGGCAGAAAGCTTTGGTAGGTAGCATTCTAACGACAGGCACCACATGACATTTTTATTTCCAGTATTCTGGATAACATTTTAGGACTGAATTTCAATAAACAATTGCTCAGAGTCATTTAATTCATCTTTGCAATTTATTACTGTAGCTACTCAAAAGATGAAAGATTATGAGCTAAAATACTTGCACCAAAATAAGGTGTGAGGTGTCCGATTACATAAAATATTAATTTGAAAATTACTTGTCCTCCTAAATTGGTACACAGAAAAGTTAAATGTCAAGACCATTCATAAAGTTCCATGTCATTAAGTATTTATATGCTCACCTCTGCAAAACAATAATAATAATAATAATAATAATAATAATTTAGAACTAAAGGCAAAAGATGTTTATACAAAATTTCCTTTAATAATGTCTGAACCTGATTAACACGAACAACACAAAAGAGGTTTCCAAAGCAGCCAAACCTATCTAGTTTCCAAAAACACATTTGTTTTGAATTAAGGGTGCACTTTACTTAACGAAATTATCTAATTTTAGTAAATCTAAAGAAAATTAAGATAGAACATTTTAAAAATTGGAATCAGACTAAATTAAATATTTTGAAAAGATGAGTAAAATCTGAAGAACAGATTGAAGATAGACTTTTTGATAGGCTGCAAAGGTGTGGTAATACACATGCTTTCCAGAGTTCAGTGCATTTGCTCTAAAATATTTATTAAAAACACCATTCCTAATAGTTACTATATAATTTCAAATAAACCAAAATTTTGTAAGAAAAGCAAAGTTCAAGCGTATCACCTTTCTCCAGCAGTAATAGCTTTATGCTAGTTATAAACCTCATAGAAACAGAGTAATTCTAATAAGTAGGTCATTATGAGAAATAAGAGTGAAAAACCTTTGCAACCTGTCAGATCAATACTTTTTTTCTTCTTGAAGAACATTGAAAATTTTCACCAGAAGTAAAATTGTTAAAGAATAGCTTAGAAACATCCAGTGAAACCAAAAATGTTGAGTACTCTAAGGTTTATAAATAACTTTTTTTCCCCAAAGTAAATATATGTATATTTTGGGAAAAAACAGACATCACTCATATCTCTCCCCATAAAAATAGGAATGCTTAACCTATCAGCCTGTTGCATTTGAGACATTAAAATGAAAAATGACATCTACACCCATTAATATCTTCAATGTATAAACAGCACGGCATGACACATTCTTGAGAGCTGAAGGCTACAAAATCTCTCTGAAACATAAATAACAAAGCACTCAGAAGCATATTTGATGTTGATATTCATCTCTGAGAAAAACACTGCTGCCTAGGCTTCTTAGGAAAATAGATGCAGCCCAAATGGATCTCCTGTAATTGGTTTCAGATAGCGAGGTCAGAAGAAATATGATACAAGAAACGATTATGTGGAACAGGCGAAACAAGAATGTTTACACAGGCACTCCCTACTTATCCTGACAAGGGGTGTATACTTTGCAGATAACCAGAACCAAAAAAAAAAAAAAAAAAAAATTGCCAGCAGGATATCCAGAAATTTGCTCTTCACACTCACATATTTTAACCTTTAACATATGACGCCTTTAATATGCTACTTTGAATACTGAACATAAAATAAGTTTTCAAACAGAATTTCATTTTCTAATTATTTTCACAAGTGTGGTTGTTAAAAAGTATATTCAGAACCTTCCACAAAGGATACGATTTCCTATGCTGTTTGGCCTTTCCTCACATGTTCCCACTAAAGAGAATATACTGATAAATGTAATCTGAAGTCTCATAATGCTATTTAATAGAAGAAAATTAATCATCTAATTGTCATAAGCTATTTTCAAACAGCAATCTATCAGAGTGAAATTATGCATCTGTAGCTACTGGCCTTTCATTTTATCATGCCTGATACATAATTAGGCTAAGTTTGTTGGGGGGGGGAG